AACTTGATTATTTCAAATTGAGAATTTGGAAAAGAAAAAATCCAGTATATATCGTGTTAAAGAACTGAAATTACAGCATTAGCACACTACCATCAATGGCACAATGGTAATTTGATGCTTATTTAATGTCATCTACTTCTTTGTCATATTCTTTGTACTTTTTAAGTATTTTTATGTCCTCTTCTTCTTGCTTGGAGAATTCACTTCCACTAACTATTTTATGCACCTGCTGCATCTCACACATTAGAAAAATATTTCCAACTTTTGCACTGAGTCATGCAGTGCAAAGTAGCTAATGAGATAAAGAAGCATGGTTCCAGAATAGCTTTTATTTTTGTATCATTCGTTCTCTGGGAAAGATTTTCCAGGCAGTTGATAGGGCCACTTAGGTCAATTGATTGTGTATGGTAGAATCCAAATCATTGTTTATCAGCGGTGTGTGCCCATAAAATATGAAGGTCAAATATACCATTAAGGCATTCACTGCTTACTTCTATGCTCTCACACATACGAATTATTATCTTAAGTTATTTGTCCATGTCCACAGTGATGCTCTATGGATGTGGTTGGTTTGGGATGGATTAGCTTACTTTCTCTTGACATCCAGAAATCTACTTTTGTAGTTGATTAGGAGAAATTTCCACTAGATATTATGCTTCATTCCAAATGGCTATTTCTACTAATTTGCTACTTTCCCTTTCAGGCACTTCTTCTTCACGGCAATGCTGTTTGTATATGGCCGCATCCTCAATCAGAGGCTCGCGAATACTGTTACTTCGGATAATTTTTTGCATAAGCTTGTGACTGGATTTATCAAGTATCACATGGTTACCTGTTATTTCTTGTATATTGCAGGTTGGTTCTACGTTTCTTTTGTGATGTTCCATGTAGTAGTTACCTGAGGAGTCTCTGGCAAACAAGTCATACTTAGGTTACAGGCTGTCAAACTGGGGTTTTTTTATGCTCTCTCCTATGAATTTTGTCTTTCAATTAGTACATAATGATATACAATATGCTTATAATACTTTTTGGTTTCTAAAATGCTTGATGTTAAATTATGATCTATAAGAGTTCTCTTTTAAAATATTAGTTGTGGCCTGTGTCGGGTTAGAAGAATGTATTGAAAATTTTCTTCTCTTGTTGGCTTCAGGTTTTATGTGGTTTATTCTGACACTAAAGAAGAAGATGTATAAGTATCAGTTTGGACAATATGCATGGACGCATATGATTCTGATTGTTGTGTTTACACAGTCCTCTTTTACTGTGGCAAATATTTTTGAAGGAATATTCTGGTAACACAACTTCGAAGCCTCTATTTGATCTTATTAATTACTTAGAATACTACTTGCTGGTCTACTGTATTTGCATTCATGCTATTTGATCTTATGGTTTTACCACTTGAACTATTTTGGGAGATCTATGCATCTCTTGTTCTCCATAAGTGACATGTTTGCAACTGGTCCAGTCAATAGAATAGACTATAACCAGTCTCAAGTTTTACTCCCAGCCATTGGGTGTATAGACTTTGAATCTAATTTGAAAAGAAAATATTTATAAACCAAATTCCTTTGCGAGTCACCTAGGTAAAAACATTGTTCTCGATTACAGTAGTTTATCCTCTTTTTGAAATGTCTATGTAAGGTTCTTTTGCTGCTTGATTATTTATATTTTGGTAAGTACTACTTTCCTTGTTCTGCATTAGTTATTAGGACTGACACAGCATCTCACATTTACATCCAAATAATTGAATTTGAATAAAGAACTTGAAACACGGTGTTAATAATATTGCAGGTTCCTTCTTCCGGCATCACTTATCGTCATCGATGATATTGCTGCTTACTTTTTTGGGTTTTTCTTGGGGAGAACTCCTCTTATCAAGATATCACCGAAGAAAACATGGGAAGGCTTTATTGGAGCATCATTTGCAACTATTGTCTCCGCATTTGTGGTGAGCAGTCTATCCATTTATTTGGCAATAGTTTTAAGATGATGTGCCAATTTTGATGAGCATTCGAGGCTATATCCTTGGCTTACCGATGTCTATTTTGGTCCTTTATTTTTTTCAATCTTCCTTTCTGAATTATGGTCGGAGCACTTTTAAGTGTGAATTTTGGCAGAGGTTTGACCTGTATGGTTGGATGTCCCTATTGGTGCCTATCATCATAAACATAACCATCTTACTATCTAAGAAAACGAGAAGTGAGATGGCAATAAATATATGATTGGGGATTATAGCAGGAATATGCTTGTTAAAAATTGTGGCAGTGAATTTACTTTCACTTGTTTTGCAGCTTGCAAATATATTGGGTCGTTTTCAGTGGTTAACATGTCCTAGAAAGGTGACTTTTGCTCCCTTGTACCTAATCACCTCTTTTCTAATATAGTCGATATGTTTGTATCTGAGGAATTTAAACTTTCTTGTGCTCCGTGACATGCAGGATTTATCAACTGGCTGGCTTCTTTGTGATCCTGGTCCGCTGTTCAAGCCAGATTATTTTACTGTCCCTCAATGGGTTCCTCAATGGGTAATTGGTTTTCTCTATCTAACCTGTGTTATTCATGCATCTTCTTCTCTGAAAGTTTCTGTATTGATAAAATTGACTTTTCTGCATGAAAGTATCTGATGCTAGTTTTTTTGATGTGTATTTAGTAATTATATAGGTATTGATCCTCTCTATCTTGTAAACAATTCTTTAAAAGTATCTTACCTGAACATTTAGTTTCATTCTCGTATCTTCATTCCATGCCAATTTGTCTACTTGATTTGCAAAGGAATAAATGTAGAACCTCTGTCGCACAACATCATCATTTACTTGGTCAGATAATTTTCTTGTGTTGTGACACGAAGAGCATGCACATGCCATTTTCTGGCCAAAAACTGTTCAATTGAGAAATAAACTCAAAAGATAAAAGAGCTTCAGTAGCTAAAATAAATACTAAAACATGAAAATTTCAATAGAAACTATCACTTTCCCTTTCCCCCTCACCTTTTGGAGATTGGAACCAACGCATCCCATATCCTTGACCTCATAACAATCAACCAATCTAAACCCATTGTATAGTGTCAATACCATTATGGTTGTACTTGATTGGGTGGAAGCCTTGTTGGGAAACTTGTAATGTCCAAGACTGCCATTGTCCTTAAATTTCTGTTCATATAATTTTGTATTCTTACTGAGTTTCATATGTCAAAATCTGCTGTTCATTTACTGCAGTGCTTCTTGGTTGTTTTGGCAGTTCCCTTGGAGAGAGATCTCTGTTTTACCAGTACAGTGGCATGCCCTTGCGCTTGGTCTCTTTTCATCAATTATAGCACCTTTTGGAGGCTTTTTTGCTAGTGGCTTTAAAAGAGCTTTCAAGTTCAAGGTCTGATAGCATTAATTTTTCTATTTTTAATTGGAGCTAAGCTCTCAAAATCTAGGTTCATTATTGGTTTTCTTTATTTCATTTTCTGTGGAACTTTGACCCACATGTTAAAGCTCTTGTATCATTGTACTACCCATTCTTCAATGTTTTATTTTTGCTGCAGGATTTTGGTGATAGTATTCCCGGACATGGTGGAATCACTGATAGAATGGATTGCCAGGTTAGTTTGAATGAATTATAGGGAGGCATGGTTACACCTAGTTTGACATGAAATTTATACTCTTTCTAAAATATGTTATCAGTGTTAAAATTATGTTAACAAGTGTTGACACAATTTTAAAGATGAAAGATTACAAGTAATTAGACACTTTGTTGGAGATAGTGAGTGAGGCAGTATGTATCTCAGTAAATATACAAACAATTATGACTAACCGTTTAGTTTTTATTAATTTGTGAGAATGCTAAAAAAATAAAAGTTCCAAAATATATAAATAAATTAGCAAAGTCTTTTTTCTTTCTTTCTTTTTTATTTAACAATATGTATACAAAGAATTCTTATAAATATTACAAGTTTTTGGAAGAGGCAATATGCCTATCGCTGCGTGACAATTCTGATGTGTAGTAGAAGATGGGAAACCAAAAACAGGAGACGGATAGTTAATAATAGTTTCGATCAAAGTGATAAATGTTTTGAGTCAAAAAAAAAATGGAAAAAAAGAAAGAAAGAAAGAAAAACGTGTCTTCAAAATCCTAATTTCTAGAGAATATAAATGAACATTGAGGATGAAGATGAAGTACACATCATAGCTACCAGGTGTCGAGTTGACTTCCACATTCAGTGTGATCCGAACTTTTTTCCTTGAAGCAAGTCTTTCATGAGATTCTTTGTATTTGAAAAAGCAAGAGTAAGCATCCATTTTCATGCCTTCACATACACGATTTCTTACAAATTTTATGGTTTACCATGGCTTTGAGATCACCTTAATGTTGAAATAATTCTATGTTCATGCCATACTACCTTGCCCCCATTCTTTTAGTAAGGATATGTTGTCCTTGTTATTGTTGATACAGGATATATTTTTCAATTCCTCACGTCCTTTAGACTGACCATGCTTTTGCTTTGTCTGTCGTGATGGAAGGAAAGTTGAACGATTATTCTTTTGGAAGTGGGAGAACCTCTCTGATTGTGTTGCAATAGGTTGATCAAGGAGGAGGAAGTTCACTAATACACCCCTTTACGTGCTGAAAAACATTTTTAGTTTACCGAGGCAAAGAAATTAAGAGAAGTCGAATCTTGTCCCTCTCAGTTTGTAAAGATGCACAGTGGACTAGAATGAAAATTACCTTTGAGTTTCTGTGTTATCTTCTCCACCAACCACACTTCCCTGATTTAATTTTATATTTTGTTGTTTAAAGCCTTTTAAACATGTACCTTATCTTGATTTTGTGTAAGCTAGAGTGCCTATTTTTACAATGGGTTTATAACGTAAATATTGCAAACGTTCAAGTTTGTTATGTGGTTAACTGGTCACTTGTGTGCAGATGGTGATGGCCGTGTTTGCGTTTATCTACCACCAGTCATTTATTGTATCTCAAAGTGTATCGATCGAAGCTATTATGGACCAGGTATCTAGTACAAGATGAAAATTTCGTGAATTGAACTTGTCAAAACGAGTTGATATTAACGTTATCTTTCGTGTAGATATTAATGAACCTTACATTTAAGGAGCAACGAGCTTTGTTCATGAAGCTCGAGCAGATCATCCAGGAGAGGTAGCTTGGTGAAACCTGAATATTGGAAAACCAACATTGTGTAATGTATGTAGCTCTCATTTTCGCATGTCATGTACACGTTCTGTTTTCTCTCCCTCGTTTTATGCGGACTTTTGCGAATGTTTAGTTGCAGACTTTACCACACGTGACTTTTTGCACGTTGTATAGTGTTGGCCCCCATTAGATTTCTGATATTTCAATTGATTAATGTACACGTTGAGATAATGTTTGCGTTTTAGTTACTTATGCCCTTATCTTTTCTTAGGAGAGAAACGACAATGTAAAAATTGCTTGAATTTTATTGAAAAGTTTTCTAGAAAGTGGCTGTGGCAGTTCAGCCTACCAGTATGATTCTTCAGCTTAACATAATCTTGGTTTCGACCTACAAAAATAACCTCGATTTTCTTTTAATCTTTCACAATCTTCTTCCAACCCAACCCGCCATCATCCTTGTACTGTCTGCAATGGAAGTGAGCCCCCATCATCCTTGTTCAGCTGCAACATGGGATTAGCCTTGTGCGTCTAAGTGGCTAACTTTGAAGCCTTTTCAGGATGGAACTCCAATTTCCTACCATTAGGGTAGGGATGGTGTTGGGGATAGCGGCAGAGCCGTAGGGCGCCCTTCCCGGTCCGCGACATTTGAAATTTTAATGAAGTTGAGTTAGATTTCCAAAAATAAAAAAAATAAAAATTCTACTCACTAATATTAATCAAGCATCTAAACGCAAATTTCTTGAGAATGCAGAGCTTTCTTTTCAAGATTATAATCAAAACACGCTCATGTTCTATTAGAGGAGAGAACAATCTTAATAGATCCTAGTTTTGCACAGAGTTGCATAATAGGTCAATCGATCAATCAATAGACTAATCTCTTTAGAAAAAATATACCATTCCTAAAGAACCATAGGATTACTTGTAGACCGAAAACAACAATAGAAACATTTGAATAGTTGAAACTTTTTTCGTGCAGAGTGGACTTGGAGTCAAATATCCTATTTTTCCCAACCAAACAAGCACTTTTGCAAAGTTCACCTTCTGCCCCTAGAGAAAATATGAAACTTATCAGCAGTACTTAGTCGACATCAAATAAGAATACTTTACTTCATGTTGTTTTCCAGGTCAACAACTCCCTCCAGTGCTATTACAAATCCTCGAGACTATGAAGTGATTTCAGACCGTGAGAATGTGCTCCACATTGCCACAAGAAATGTCAAGATGAATGGGAGGTCATAAGACCAGATATCTTGATTCTTGAATGTGTTCTAATGTTTTTTCGATAAGAGAGTTAACGATCAACATCCTCATTAATGGGGAGATTTTGTTCATTTTCCCACTTTCTGTCTTCATTTTCAGCCTTCTCTCCTTTCTTTTTCTGACCTTAGATGTTAACCTACACGTTTTCACATGTCATAGCTTTCTGTCTTTTTCTCTCTTTGCATTTCTTTCTTTTTCTTTTCCTTTTCTTTCTTCTCATTTTCATCACGTCAACATTATTTATTAGATACATAGTATTTAACGAAATTAAAAAGTATAATAAATAAAAATGTAACCTCATATTATTGTTTCTTATTATCAATAATAATCCGACCCTCCAAATAAACAATCATGACAAAAATTGTAGTTATAGTGCGTTATTCAATGTTGGGTAGGAAGTCCAAAATTATACAAACATTTCTCTGCATTGATTTCTTCATCCATCGCCTTTTTCTTTCATTTTTTTTCATCAATTATTGAGCTTGGCATGATGATCAATCAAATGCTTCATCAGGTCAGGATTCAACCGTATCAATTTATGGGATTTTCTTGTAGTACAAACTCAACTATCACTACAACAATATAAGGCCGTGTTTGGTAGAGATTAAAATTAGATTTTTGGTAGAAAATGGTAAATAATAATTCTTCTTATTCATGTTTTTGGCTAACTTCCAACCCACTCTTATTCTTTATGTTACCATTATTGCTGACAAGATTCACAAAAAGCACATATCCAATTTACTACAAGCCAAAAAGAATATGAATACATACGATTGAAGATGCATATAAAAGTTGTGTTTTAACACTCGACTCGTTGTATGTTCAAGAATTACAACTTACATATCGTGAGTAAAATAAATACGCTAGTCCTGGAGGGCTAAAAATCTCTATACCACAAGGATAAACAAAAGAATAACGTCCAAGTTATTGTATATTCAAGAATTATAAGATTAGTATAGTAAAACGGATATGAGGTCGCACTAAAATAAATATAAATGTCTTCGAGTTGAGGTCGTGTCGTGTATTCTGCATAGAGCTAAATTTGTTTCTATTTATAAAAGCGATATGATGTTAATAAAACGTAACTAATCCACCGTGTAAATAAAATAGAATCACTGTTGTTAGGGGCGGATCCAGAGTTTTAAGTCAGCACGGGCGGCCGTTGGCCGTCGATAGCAATAATATATAAAGAGCTCATTTGATGCCCATTTTTGTAAAAAAAAAAAAGTATTTTAGAATAGTGATTTACTGGAGAATGTGCGTTTAAAAATAAGGAAAGTTTTGAATATACGTGTAACATTATTTTATTGAAAAATGTGTGGTTCAAAAGAAAAGAGAAAAAATTATTTTGAAAAAAAATGGGAATCAAAGCCTAAAATCTAAATATAAAAATAATTTTGTTCAAATTGAACATATATAATTTTTTATACAAGTTAAAAATACTCACCAAATGAGAGTTCGAATTTTTACAATTGAATTAAAACTATTAATGTCAATAATATCAAACTCAGCAAACGTCCCAATGGTAAGGATTCCAATAATCTTTAAGGATAGTCACGGGTTCGACTCACCCCTCCATATTGCCATTAATTTTGGTAAAAAATTTAAAATAGTAAAAAATGGAGAACTAAAAATATATGAATTGCAAGTTATGGAATCAAATTAGAGACATCTCATAAGAATTGCGAGCTAAAAAATTTATCTATGGTAAAAAAAGAAAAGTTCCTCTAACCAACTCAACTGAAGGAGGCATTTGAAAATGAGATGAAATAACTGTTACATAAGCTAAAAATTTTTATCTATTGTCAAAAAAAAAAAAAGTTCCCTGCGGATCAGCACGAGCGGCCACGGGGGCTCGCCGGATGGTGGGTCCGCCCCGACTGTTGTTTGTAATTGATTGGGTTAGTGAACGTGAGACCTTAAGGTAAATTGGAGCTTTCAACCCCCGTTTGTGGTTCATTATTTAAAAAAAAAGTTTTAAATAGTATTTTTAGGAAAATGTATAGTTAAAAAGTAGAAAAAAAATTAAATTTATGTGTATAATATTTTATTGCGTGAAGGTGGCTGAAAATGTTTCGATAGTTAAAAAAGTTTTAAAACAATAGTAAATAGGTGCAGTAAAAAAGAGTTTCAATTTTAAAAAAATATGTGGTTAAAAAGTAGAGAAAAATTTAAAATTTACATGCATAATATTTTATCGTGAAAAGGTTTGGCTGAAACTGATTCGATAGTTAAAAAAGTTTTAAAACAATAGTAAATAGGGGCTTAACTGCACCTGATTCTCCATTTTCACTGCATTTACCATTTTACCCTTTGTCACCATTAAAAATCCAGCGTCCCAGTGTGGCCGTAAATCCTAATTTCTTGTTTGGTGTGGAAAATGCAATGGAAAATAGTCAAAATACGGTACAAACAACGAATCACACATCTCCTGAAAAGTTAGTCCGTTTGATAAGAATTAACAATTAATTTTACCACATATTTTATGAAATTCACAACTTTTCAACAACACATTTCGTCAATAAAAAAATTGATTTTTATCTCTACCAAATAAGGCTAATAAATTAGTCGAGCACTCTAATTCTCAATTTTTTTGTTGTAGTGAATCTAAATAGTGGTTATGAGTCGCTTTTGAAAGTCGAATTTGACACCTCTCTTTTTAAGTTTATTATTATGAGTCTAGAATGCATTTTCCCAAAAATCATAAAAAAATAAATAAATAAAAAATCCCCATTCTACACATTTCTCCATTCTACGCATAAATAAATAAATTAATTAATTAATTAATTGAACTACACATTCCCCCAAAAATTTCCATTCTAAAATGCATTTTGGGGTTCAAACACGAGCCTAGCTAGCATGGTTCTTTTTATTTTTTATTACATTTTTTTTACCTTATTTGCACCGTTCTCTTTTTTCTGCAACACATTTGACCACCCTCTCTTTTCGTCTATTTCTCTCTTCACGCTTCTGTCAAGCAATGACATTTTTTTCCTGCATGACACTCCACCCACCATCTCCAATACAACTCCATCTCTCTTTCTTTGCAACACATTTCACCCCCTTCTCTCTCTCTCTCTCTTCACTCTCAGATTCCTGTGCTTCACTTGTTAAAAATTGTGGCAATAATGGTTAAAGCTCCTAGACTTTCTTAATTTTCGTCTCCAACATTTCGCAAATCTTTACCAAACCCTATCGTTCCCACTGAAAATCCTTACTCCCACACACTTCCAGTCACTCTTTACCTCTCGGCTGACGGAGGAAAGGTCAGATCTCTGTTTTGATTTTTGTTCTTTTTCTCTACATGTCTGGTTTGGCTCTTACGCGTCTCATCTTGTTTCTTGTTCCTATTTGGATGTTTTTAAGATTTTTTTAAAACTCTTGTTCGATGGGCATATATGAGAATACATTCTTGAGTCGGGTTTACGAACTGATGGAGTTTTTGATGAAATTTGGTTTAAGCTGCTTGAATTTTTTTCTAATCAAGCTGCGTTCTTTAGCTGTTTAACCCTCAAAAGTGCAGTGCATGATACCTTTTCTTTCTTCTCATTTTCTAAACACTTTCTAAGAAAATGAGAAGTGAAATGGTAACAAATATATGATTCGTGACTATAGGAGAAATATGCTTGTTAAAAATTGTGGCAATGCATTTACTTTCACTTGTTTTGCGGCTTGCAAATGTATTGAGTCGTTTTTGTGGTTAACATGTCCAAGAAAGGTGACTTTTGCTGCCTTATACCTAATCATCCTTTTTATATAGTCCATATGTTTGTTTATGAGGAATTTAAACTTTCTTGTGCTCCGTGACATGCAGGATTTATCAACTGGCTGGTTTCATAACAAGTAGTCACTCAAATTAAAATAAACAAACAAATAAATAAAATTATCAGCTAAAATTGAAAATAAAAACTAAATCTCATAATGTCATTTTCGGTTCCTGATTATTTTTTTTTGTCATGTGTACCAATGGATTTATAGTTGTGTTCAGTTAGTTACATTTTTCATGAACTCGATGGTGAGAATTTCTTGCATTATTTCTTAAGTTCACAGGCAAATATTAACGAAACAGGTGGCCTCAACTGGTTGTAATAATTGGATAACAGATGGACTGTGATAGCTATGATAAATGAGAAGTTAAATCTCGTCAAAAATAATCTCTCATTTGCTCTCTAACTGATTTTGTTTTCTTTCATCCACCATTGATAGAACAGCCATCATTCAATGGTGGTGCTGGTCGAGATAAGATCTGGATGGGAAAGCGTGGCTAACATATGCTTCATCTGCGAAATATTCCACATCACACACACACCATAAAAAAGAAAAAGAGAAAAACAACAACAACAACAACAAAGAGAGAACGCAGGGTGTGTAAAGATGAGGTTGTGATTTAATGTTGTGCTTGGTGGTGGTATTGTTGGCAATGGTATTTGTGGTTGTTGCCAAGGGATGAGAAGGGGAGGGAGAAATTTAATCTTTTTCTTTGGTCTTTCCCTTTTCTTTAATCAGGATGAAGTCTTCTTTCGAATTAATTTCTTCTTTCTGTGAAATTCATATGGACATCAGACAATTGTTGTCTTCGTCCTTGACCATAATGCATTATTAAGAAACTTGTAATGTCCAAGACTGCCAGTGTTCTAATTTTCTGTTTATGTAATTTTGTATTCTTATTGAATTTTATATTTCAAAATCTGCTATTCATTAACTGCTGTGCTTCTTTGTTGTTTTGGCAGTTCCCTTGGAGAGAGATCTCTGTTTTACCAGTACAGTGGCATGCCTTGGCGCTTGGTCTCTTTTCATCAATTATATCACCTTTTGGAGGCTTTTTTGCTAGTAGCTTTCAAGTTCAAGGTTTGATAGCATTAATTTTTCTATTTTTAATTGTTGCTAAGCTCTCAAAATCTAGGTTCATTATTGTTTTCTCTATTCAGTTTCAGTGGAACTTTGACCCATATGTTAAAGCTCTTGTATCATTGTACTACCCATTCTTCAATATTTTCTTTTTCCTGCAGGATTTTGGTGATAGCATTATCTGACACGGTGGAATCGTTGATGGAATGGATTGCCAGGTTAGGTTGAATGAAACATAGGGAGGCATGGTTACACCTAGAGCTAGGCCTGGGTTGTGTTGGGTCTTTTTTTATCCAACCCAAGCCCAATCTAGCATTGTTGGTTTGAACTAAAATCAAACTAATCCAACCCAATTATTGGTTTAAACCCAACCTAAACCAAACCAATCGAGTTTGGGTTTTGTTGGTTGGTTTGCTCTATTTTAATAAGAATTAGAGCATTTTGCGCTTTTTTAATGAGAATTAGAGCATGTGCCCTAAGTTTAAAAAGTTCACTTACGAGTAAATTTACTTATAAATATCTAGGATTAGCCAAACATGCTCGAATTACGCGCAAGCCGTTTTCTGAGTTGCTAGAGTCCTTTAACAAGCACATCATTTAGGTTTTATTTTAACTTATGCTGGCAGGTATTCATGTTCTGTAAGATTTTTCTTCAGAGAATTAGGTGATACAAAATGTTGATATATATGTGTTATCATTTTGTTATAATTAGATGTCAGTTCACCCCTTGGACAACTCGATGTATAGTATTCAAGCACGGCCGACAACACTGACATGCTTAATTTTGTAAAGTGCTAATCATACAAAAGACTAAATAAATTGAGAATTGTGTACCTTTTAACTACAATGAGTGTTGTATTTATAGTGATCAGAGACCTCTATTTAGTAGTCTTACCTTCACTGGACTAATGCACCACACTAAATTAGTTGTGTGGTAGAATGTTTCAATAAGACTTTAAATTTTTTCTTAGTCTGTCTGTTTCAGCTGCTCTTACTAGGATCTGTTTAGGTTTTTCCATTTAGATATTATTTTTTTAAATTCATCGGGTCGGATTTTAATTCATTATCCTAGACTCAACCTAACCCGACCCAAATCCAGCCCCAGTTACACCTATGAGTTACCTCGTCCAATACATCCGAGTTCTGATACAGAGCATTATCTTTGTTAATAATCTCAAGATGGATTATACTCGTGTAACAAAAAATTATATTGTACGATTTTGGATCGAGAACATAAGGATGGTGGTTGTGTGGTTTTTCAGCGAACTCTTCAAGTTTGTGATCTTTGTATATAATCGTTTTGCATTTTCTATTATTTTCTTCTAAATTTCTTCCCGTTACTCTTTACCTCTTGGTGGTATTTCTTCTAATTTGACTCTTACACGTTGCATTCAAGTTGTTTAATCCTCAATCAAGTTGCTCGTGTGTGACCATTGATTAAGTTAACTCAATCAAGTTGCATTCTTTAGTTGTTTAATCCTCAAAAGTTCTTTTCATTTCACTTTTCGTTTCTCTTTTTTTTTTCACAAATTGACCCCCAAAATATCACAAATCTTTTACCAAATCCCATCGTTCCCACTGAATGTCCTTACTTCCACACTTCCCATCACACTTTACCTATTGCTGGTCTCATGGAAGATATCGGATTCTGTTAGAAAAAAATCAATGAAATTAATTTGCTTTTCTTTTCCTTCTCATTTTTTAATACAAACTTATCTTCACACATTTGCAAATGGATCCCAAATTGTATAGATGTACACAAGAAGGCGATCTTAGTGCTATGAGAGTACCTAATGAACATGTTAGCAACTAGTTGGTGCCAAACAAAAATATCCCACTTCACGTTGCATATTTCAACGACTCTCCGGGAATGCACTAAAGAAATCCTCAATACATATGAATACTTGGTCTTTGAAATGAATTTTGCACTTCATATTAGGGTACTAAATGGAAAATTTGTTGTCGGATCAACAATGTTGACATGGGCAAAACCTTCAGATCAGAAGGTTGAATCTGGTAATGGAACACTAAAAATGCTTCTATCAATGAAAAATAGAAATTGGAAAACTTCGTTGCTTGAAGTAATAATGAGTGATCATCCGAAAATGGTTGCAATGATGCTTCGAGTTTACCCTAAAATTGCAAATATAGTGAATGATTCACTAGAAATTCCACTATTTCTTGCTGTTTATATAAATATTAATTTTACGTGGGATACACATAATGGAATATCGTCCCTCGCCGACTTACACTCATCTAGAAGGAGAACTACCCTAGATGATGTTGCCGTATGTAACATGATTGGTAAGTTTTAAATTTGAGTTAATTTCAGTTGTGGTCATGGTAGTTTGAGTTAATTGTCAATTGGTCACTGTACTTGCATTGACGATATATGAATAAAAAACAAGTCTTTAATTTTATTACTATCAATACTTTTGCTCTTTAATAAAAGATGTTTTTATTGAGATGTCATTTTTGTCTCGTTATTCTCATTATTCAACAGAAAATTAGAAAACTATTGGTATTAATCATTTTAATACACTAGCACAACTTTGTTGTACTTACTATGCTCACTCATGATTTTGATGATTGCATGATTTACAAAAGAGTTATTGAAAAGTATCCAATTTCAATAAATAAGGTATATGATTTTGGATGGAGCAGTCTCCATTGATAAATCTATTGCATACATAGTTGCACAAAGTGATGATAATAAGGCAACTCTACATTTAGCAATATGTGAGGGAAATATAGAGATATCTTAAGATATTTTCATGATTGTTCGGAGATGATCGGAATATTTTACACCTTGTCGGGAAATTCGAAAAAAAAAATGTATTCAAATTTATTATAAAACAATGTTAGGTTAACAAACTTATAAATCAAAAAGGTGCAAGGGGAAACATATCCTTCCATGTATATGTTGTTGCTGTCAATTGTCGAAGTGCTGATCTTGTGAAACACTCACAAGCAGATCAGAATGTAGTGAATAAGAAAACATGACTCCTCTTGGTGTAGTAGTGCATTATGATATTTTTTCAGAAAGAGAGGTAAGAACAATTTTTCTAATTTTAATTTTTTGAGTTTTCAACTTTTACCATAAAATATGAAAAATAAGATATTTTAAAGAAATATCAACTAGTGTATCGATGACTTCTCTGATTTAACAATAAAACAAGATGATATAAAGAATGAATTAAAAAGAAAAGACGTTCAAAAGAATCTGAAACCCAGTCCTTTCTAATTCATTTAACACTGAAACAGGATGATATCAAAAAATTAACTAAAAATAAAAGATGCTTCATTATTGACTGGGTTTCAGATTCTTTTAAGCGTATTTTCTTTTTAATTCTTTCTTTATATCGTCTTGTTTTATTGTTAAATCAGAGACAAGTCATCGATATATTAGTTGAAATTTCTTTGACATATCTTATTTTCCATATTTTACTGTAAAAGTTGAAGACTCAAAGAATTAAAATGAGAAAAATTGTCTTTACCTCTCTTTTTGAAAAAATATTAGAATGCACTACCACACCAAGATGAGTCGGGTTTTTCTTATTTACAACATTTTGATCGGCTTGTAGGTAGTTCATAAGATCAACATCTCGGAATTTGACTGTAACAGTATATATATGGAGGAGTGTGTTTCCCTCTGCATTTTTTTGGTTTATAAGGTTGTCAACCCAAGATTGTTTCAAAATAAATTTGAATGTATTTTCTTTTTCGAATTTCACGGCAATGTATAGAATATTTTGACTTTCGTCAAACAATTATGACAATATTTAAGATATTTACATTTTGCTAAATGTAGACCAATTTTATTATCATCTCTTTGTACAACTAAACTATGTATCCAACGGATTTTATCTGCTTGTAATTCCTCCGCCACAATGTCAAATCTATATCGTGTAGCATAATTGAGAGCACTCCTCCAAAATCTACCTTCTTTATTGAAGTTGGATGTTTTTTCAATAACTCTTCCGTGAATCCTGCAATTATCAAAATCATTAGTGAGTAGAGTACAATAAAGTGATACTGATGTATTAAAGTAATGAATGCCAATAGCCTTCTAATTTTCCGTTGAATAGCGAGACAAAAAAAGAAGCTAAATAAAAATATCTTCTTATTAAAGAGCAAAAGTAGTAATAAAATTAAAGGTTTATTTTTTCATTCATATATCGTCAATTAATGTACAATGACCAATTGACTCAAACAGCCGTAAATGAAATTAATTCAAATTTAAAATTTATCTGGAATGTTAAATATAGCAGTAGATGTCAATTAGTTCTTTCTTCTGGGCCAGTGTTAGCCGACGAGGGGCAATATTTCATTATGTGTATCCCACACAAAATTCGTCTCTTATAAACAAGAAACAGTGGGGTTTCCATGCAATTATTTACTACATTTGCCATTTCTGAGTAATCTCGAAGCATTTTGTAACCATCTCTGACTTATCACTCATTATTGCTTCATGCAACGGAGTATCTCTACTTCTATTTCTCATTGATAGAAGTTTTTGTATTCCACCGTCAGATTCAACCTTTTGATCTGTATGCTATGCCCATGTTATCCAATGATATATTTGCCATTTCTTACCACAAAATGAAGTGCAGAATTCACTTCAAAGAGCAAGTATTCATGTGTTGAGATTTTTTCGGTACATTCGCGGGAGTTATTAAAATATGCAACAACGTCGAGAATATTTTTGTTTGATGTTAACTGGTTGTTAAAGTGTTGAATATGTACTCTCAAAGCACTAATATCGCCTTCTTGTGCAGCTCTATACAATCTGGGATCCATATGCAAATGTTTGAAAAAATAGGTTTGTGTTAGAGAAGAAAGCAACATAATTTTATTGATTTTTTTTTCTAAACATAGTCCAATACCAATAATAATAGAATACATAGACAAAAACACAATAAGGACAGCAAGAGGTAAATAGTAATTGGAAGTGTAATTATAGATCATGAAAATATATGAGGAAAGGAAGATGCCTACAGACTTGACAAAAATGGGAGAAATTCAGATGTTAATGGCAGCTCTCATAATGATAGTTACATTTGTAGCTGGATTCACGTCTCTGGAGGGTGTAAGGAGAATGATGGCCACGCAATTTTATCAAGAAGTTGGAATTTTATATTCTTCATTATTGCGGATACAATGGCTATGGTTTTTTCTGCTTTTGCGGCGTCTCTCTACGTGGTTGCAGTTGTGTTCTTCCGCTGGCAAAAGCTTGCACAGTTATATTATAGCGTGTGGTTTGCAGTGGTTGCTTTAGCGTGTGGTATGTTTGCTGTTATGGAACATAGCAATCATAGAATTAGTCATCTGCCTTTTATGGTTTCCTATCTTCTACTACACAATAGGAATTGTACACAAGCATAGTGCCTCTTCCAAAAACTTGGAATATTTGTAAGTTTTCTTTGTACAACTCTCAATCTGTGTAATTTTTATTAAGTTTTCTACACATCAGCAGCGTCACTCAATTTGTGTAACCTGATATTCATTATGCTATATTAGAATTTTTGTTTTTGTTAATTTTTGTTGGTTTGGTTACTCAAGTAGGTGCTCACACGTCTTCTAAAGATAATTAATTTCATTATGTAGTGAATAGAATCAATTTATATTTTTACTGAAGTGCTTTGTTATGTGCATCATTAAGATGATTCCTTTTAAGAGGTCGATCCAGCAGCAATTGGCAACTATTGAAGCTTATGTACTGAAAAAGCATGTGTGAATTTTTACTTTTGTTACCTGTGTATCAACTGAACTAGTCTTTTTAGCCTTTGAATTGTGATTTTTGCACTCAAATTGGTGTTTGTGCCTGCTTGAAGGTCTATGTTGTGGATTTCATTTTATTTGTTGAACCATAATAGAGGTTTGAAACAGAAATATCAAATTAAATAACCACTATAAATGCTTTTTCCTGCAATAATTTTCTTCTATTTTATGTTTGTACTTTTTACTCATTTTTCTCTGGAGAAATATTTATGACTTGCTTGATTAAGTGGACAGGTTCTGTGGGGTTTGAAGAGGATGCCTATTGCTTTGATTAAGCATCTGCGTAAAGGCGGTAAATGATTATGATGTGATAGTATTTGAAGTATAAATGTGCCTATCAATATAATAATATATTAAATCCCATGTATTATAGCAGCCTTTGGACATTAACTTTTCAGATTCCTTATTCTCTTTTTCTTTTGGTGGTCTATTATGTTAACCTGAATTCATTGTTATTACCTTCTGTTTGCCTATGTCTCCGCTGCTTTACTTATTCCTTTCATATATGTGATACTTCAGAAATGTGAAGCCCCACCTGCAAAACACGATCATCGTTCCTGAGATGTCAATGGCAAGACCTTCAACACAGTTGAAATCAAGCCTGAGTTCTCAATCTCATACACAGTCAAGCATGGTAGACCTGGTACTGGTGCCACCCATCGACAAGGTTCATTCCTCTGCAATGAGAAGTCTACAGTCGATTCAGAAATATGAAGAGATTTTGTTCGTTAGGATCACTTATGTTATGTTCTTCGTATTCGTGTGCTTAATTAGTTTGTATTCTATCTGCTGACATGTTTTGTTGGACATTAATGTTTGCTTATTTTATATTTGGAAAGAGTTCAATGTTTTCAATTGCATTTTCTTTTATTTTTTCTATTTTATATGAATGTTTATATGGGGCATGTTTTTTGGAACTTCTTTGAACTTTGAATGATGTGGGAAGTTGAAGGTTCTAAATATGCACCAAAGATCTTCCTTTGAGGACTCATAACTTGCACAAGGTTTTCAGTATATTTGCATAAGGGAAATTTATCTCTTTAATGTGGAGGGAGGTGATGTCTTTTTAACTTCTTTTTGTGCAAATTAATATCAGGGCTTGTTCATTTGATGAAGGGAATTGAGGAGAGATTTGAATATTCATAGAACTGATGTTACCTATGAAAATGGGGTTGCCAGATGTTGATGCTACTGGCTGATGGGCGGGTTCATCTTTTTGTGTTCTGGCCTTCTTTTTTCTTCATCTAAGCTTCTAGTTTTTGGTCGACTTCTGGACAAATAGTATGCTTCCATTTTCTTGTTTATGCAGGATGAGTAATAGTTTCAACTGATTTTGGTAGTCTTGGAACACTAGTTTTTTCTATTTATACTCATTTCCCTCTTTCAAGAAAGAATTTGAATTTGACTCGTTAAATTTCTTAAGAATGTTAATCCTTTAATTTTGCAATTCAGGATTTAAACCCTTTACCCATTATCTTTTCGAATAGATAGTGTTTGATGAGCATGTTTGGCATGGAAAAGCAATTTTAAGGCTTGGGATTCGTCTTTGTAAGTTCGTCTTTGTTTTGGTCCTAGAGAAGAAGACACTTAGATAGGAAATTTCTTACATGTATTAAGTCGCTCTAATATTCTATCCAAGGAGACTATTTACATAACCACAATAATCTTCTTCATATCAGAAACGTACGGGCGAGTGTATGCAGCTTTTACATTGAAGGTGAATCACTAATCTTCAATGTAAAAGCGTACGGGCGAGTTGATGTAGCTTTTACATTGAATGGGAATCACTATAGCTCTGTTTCACTACCAGTTTTTGGGAATAATGACTTTTTAAATAGTAATTTTTTTGGAGAATGTATGGTTATAAAGTAGGGAAAAGTTTTGGGTTTACGTGAAGAATATTTTATTGTGAAAATGTGTGGTTGAAAATGAATACGGAAAAAAAAAAAACAAAGTTTTGAAGGAATGATTACCGAACAGGTGCGTTTGCTTGTTTTCCTACTTTACTGTGTTTATTATTGCTCTCGCAAGAATAGATGAAAGTTTAATCTCTAACAATTAACTCGTTTTTGCTTTGATTATGTACTCCCTTTCTCTGTATTAAGCATACCATCTCTCTTTGCTAGCGTGATTGTTTAGAATTTAATTGCGAGTTGCATGTTTCTATGACTATCAAAGCAGTGCCTAATTAAGAAGGGTAACATCAGAAAGTTTAGATGTTTCCTGATTCACTCTTCCAACAAAAAACTTCTGCAATTTCCTGCTTGTAGTTCTTGAGTGAGATCTGCAAGTCTCAAATAGCCAGATACACGAATTCCCCCTAATTTTGATATGTCTAGAAGAATTTGAATGAGATTTTGGTTATTGGTTCAATCCCTTATTGTCATTTCTTAAATTCGTATAATTTCCTTGATGTTTGACGAGGAGCAGTATTTTAAAGAATGAAATATGGGATGTGGTGAAGGCAATCGACCTGTCGAGGATGACAGTGTTCAATAGCAGACATATGCAAGCATATGCTTACATATGCATTGTGATTTCTCTGGTCTACGCTCTTGAAAACCCAATTGTACGTGTACATACCTCAAGTTGACCTCGTATTACCGTTTTGGAACATTAAATGAAAATTGGTAATAAACTCCTATGTTTTGGCAATTTGACATTGTTGTTCTGGTTATACTTGTGTATTACTTGGTTTCCACTCATGGCTTTTGATTCTTATCTCGCGTTGATGCGTGAGCACAATCTCTCTGTCTTGTTGTTTCGACCTTTGTTCGAAAATCAAAACCATGTGGAGAAAATCTTCGTATCGAACATCCTAATTTGAATCTTGATGAAAAAAACAAAAAAGATAATTAGAGAGAAGTTAAATTTTGTTAGACAGGCATGTTACCATCCGCAAGTGAAACAAGTTTTGTTTCTCAGCCATGTTTGCAGTCGGTTAAACTATTTTATATTCACACCTTTTATAGAATTCATATCATATATACTATTCTTTTCTTTTTTTTCTTTTTTTTATATTTTAAATCAATTGAAAACAGTAAACACCTTCCAAGAACAGGATCTCATTGTCTATAAGTATAATTGCCCAAGAAGCATTCAATTTACTCCAGGTTTTTAGGCCTTCCCATGTAAGGTGTATATCTTAAATGGAAATAATTGTTTTAAATGACCGAAGTATGTTTAGCAAAATCAAATAGGAGCTAGATGGAAGAATTGTAATAAAATAAATTTGCTAGGATTGTAATTTTGACGTGAATCATTGGATCAGATGGAGAATTCTACTAAGGGCGTGTTCGGTAGAGATTAAAATCGGATTAAAATTGAAAAATTATCCGTTAGTGTTGACTTTTATTAGATGAGTGAGACCCAATAACGACTATATTATCTATATTAATTGGATTTTTATCTTTATCAAACAAGCACTAAATATTAATATTTAAAATGTTACATTTTTAGTACGATTCTATAAATTTACTATTCTCCACTGATTTCTATTGGTTTATCATTTTGAGATCCTAGAATCGTATGATTAGATTGTGTTTTTAAATTATACAGTATGTACCTATCTCTAACTTTTCGAAGTCCCTCCACCTGCCTGATTTCTAGAGACTTGAAAACTTTCGTGGCGTTACAAGACTTTGAAAGCTTGTATTAAGGAATTAGCAATTTTCAATCTGAATTGATAGATCAAAGATAGCAAAAAACTTCTTCAAAACTCGGGCAAAGTTTATCTGAGCTAAAGCAGAAGAGATGCTCTTCAACGTCGAAGTGCAGGAGTTAATCATAGAACAACCTACGAGAGGAGTCTAAAAGGGCACAAGGGGTGTGGCTATCCGTGCTATTTCTGAAACTGCCCCATGTACTCTTTTATTTATTAAGAGAGATGATAAGTGTAAAATACATTTATTTGGAATTTAAAATATCGATATTTGGTAATTCTTTCGACAAAATATATCTTAAATTGTTGTATTTTCATGTTATATAGGTAAAACTCAATGTTTGGACGAGAATTTGGAAGAAACAAAAGAACATCAAGGAAGAATGGCAAAATCTAAAGTTTGATGACCAAATTGAAAATATTCAATAGTTAATTCGGACTACAAGATAATATTTTAAAGATTTCTAGATGACAATTAGATGGAATCAGAACTCAAAAATGAATTAAATATGATCAAAATACTATCAAAATCCATTTTCAATCGCACAATTTATATTTCAAATTTTTAGTCGAAAATTGAGACTCATTTTTAGCATAACAAACGTCCAAATTGGAAAATTTATATTTCTAGTAAAGTTGTATTCATTTGAGTTAGATTTCCAATGCCCTCAATCAGATATCGAGATAGAAAATTATGGCTAAAATACTGACTGCTGTGCAAAGACAAAAAAATCCGCTCGCGAGGACAACTTTCTTTATTTGATTGAAACTCTTTTGGAAAGCAATTTGGACGTGATTTTCAACCAATTTTCAATTCCTACAAATACCTAACAGCAAAATACATGTTAGAGACTTCTCATATACATCTCATACTCCATTTTTTTTTTTCAATTATTACATAAAATGAGAAAAATTTATAGTTTTTGTGAAATAATTGAAGGGGACTTGCATGAATTTAATCAAGTGAAGATTCAAACTTGTTTTTGTTTTTTGTTTTTTTTTATGAAAAAGAGAATGCGCAAGTGAAGATTCATCAAAAAATCATTGAAAAGATTCAAGATTCATTTTCGTCTTCTCAATTTATCAAAAATTCGGGTTATGTCTTTTTACTTAAATATGATTCTTGTAATTTCAATATGTCAGACTTGTTTTGTACATTGCTATAATGAGATAGAGTCCTTGTTATGTTATCTTTAGCTTTTAATTAATTATCGTGACTTTAATTTGGTTTGATTTATGGATGTTTATTATCATTTTTATTGTTATTTTTAATTGTTTGATCGCCAATTGAATTGTTAGTGAGTTTTATTATTATCGAGAGAGATAATAAAATTTAAACACAATATAATAAATATTGTAAGGTTCGATAGATGATAAATATATACATATTTGTTTTATATGGTTTCAATAGGTGTTCTAACACTTGTTAATGCATTCAACATGTTTGCATATTTTATCGTGAGATAGAAGTGTCACATGAGGGAATAGATTTAATCACTATAGAGAAACTTTCAATTAAATTAGGAACATTGACCAACATGAATGATGTCAAATTGTCACTTTAATTGTTACACTAAAAATAAAATAATATGGAAATTTGATATCTTAGCAATGCATCTCACATATTTGAAAAAGACATTTACTTACTTTCATTAGTTTAATTGATAATTTAGGTATTAGTATTGAAAAAATCACAAAATTTGTTTGCTATTGATTAAAGTTGCAATTAATTTTAATTTGGTCATACACATAGTCCTCGTGAGTTCGACACTTTATTCATCATTATACTTTACTTGACCACAATCCTGTACACTTGCGGGTTTTCAAATGATCAAATTTTCGTGGGGTTACAAGACTTTGAAAGCTCATATTAAGGAATTAGCACTTTTTAGTCTGAATCGATAGATCAAAGATAGCAAAAAACTTCTTCAAAACTTGGCAAAGTTTATCCGAGCTAAAGCCGAAGAGATGCTCTTCAACATCGAAGTGCAGGAGTTGATCATAAAACAACCTACAAGAGGAGTCTAAAAGGGCACAAGGGGTGGCTACCCGTGCTATTTTTGAAAATGGGCCCCAGTACTCTTTTATTCAATAAGGGAGATTAGCCTTATTACTTCCCACTCAACGAGAGG